TGTCTACAGGGTTTCTGAGGCTTTGAATCTTTGTGGGAGCAGAAAGCCTTGTCTTCCTTCCTCCCCCTGGAGCAGCTGGTGGGCTCAAGCCACTGACCTTGTGGTTCACAGTGCAGTGCTTATCCTATGGAGTTGCCACACAACCCATATATATTTTACTACAATATTTTTTAATGCTGCTCTGAATACCCTCATACATTTGTCATTTTGCACAAGTGAGTGGAATCAAATTGGTATGTTTTCCCCCAGTTTAAGAATGATAATCTGATCTCACTTTGCAAAGCAACAAATACAAAAGGTTACTGATTGCAAGATTGTCTAAGTAAGTGTATGTATGTGTGTGCGTGCACACACACACACATTTGTTCATTTATTGTGGAAGAATAAAAAGAAACACAGCAAAATGTCAAAGTGGCTACTTTAGGGCAGTTTTCATTTTCATCTTAATTCTATTTTTTTCCCTTAATGCCAATGTAGGAAAAATGAAATGTCAGTAAAACATTTTAAAGCAACAGTCAGACAAATGGAAAAGCATTGGATTTGTAGTACAAAATGTCTGAATTCAAGTCCTGGTGTGTTGCTGCGTGTTAATGTGCTGGACTGCAAGCTTACCAGGAGCTCCTTGGAAACCCTATACAGGGTTGCTATGAGTCAGAATAGATTCAATGGCACATAACAACAACAAGAATCATGTTTGTGATAAAACATTTAACATTTTGTATAATATCTGGCCAATGATAGACCAATAAGATATATTCATTTTACTCTACTCTTTCAAAAGAGTGTGAAGATTCACTTTTTAAATGTTTAGCACAGATCTTGGAGCACATATTAACTACCTCTGAATCTCTCCCCTTTCTTGGCGGGTGACTGTGAGAGGGAAGATTAGAAATGGTTCTAACTCTCACTCTCCACCATTCAACCTGGGTTCTTCCATTCCTTGGGCTTGGCTCTGTAAGACCGCCATATTGTTTCAAAACACAGATACAATGAAAACTGATTTTCGCCTTATTTCTAAAAGACCAATCTTTTGTCTCACTTTCTGGATCCTCACTTCTGGATAGCCAGGCTCGTGGAGAACTGATTCATCCTTCAGTGAAGTTTCTTACCTGGATAGAACTTAATGATCTGTCTTGGGACCAGACAGGAATTCTTCATGTGAGAAATTCAGTCTTAGTGTCCAAACCCATATCTGCATTAGAGAGTGTGGTTGACTATTTAAAGGGTCTGGTGTTAATAAAGGGAATGGTGTGATGAATCCACTGGATAGGGTAATTTTTTTCCAGTGGTCATAGTTGTGGTAGGTGTGTGCCCTCAAGTCAGTTCTGACTCATAGTAACCCTGAATAGTGTTTTCCGTGGCTATACGTCTTTACAGAACAGAAAATCTCATCTTTCTCCTATGGAGCAAAGATTTATACTGCTGACATTGTGGTTAGTAGCCCAACACATAATGCACACGTAACGCACACGTAACCCACCAGAGCTCAACATGTAACCCACCACGTGGCTATTATTAAAAATATATGGGCAAAGATCGTGGTCCCGGATTTAGGAGCTGGACATAAGATCAGGGAGGAAAAGAAGCATTTGAGAGACATTTCAAAGAATCAACAAGACTTTGGGATTCACTGAGGATGAGAATGAAAAGAGAAGAATGGTGAAGATGAAGAAAGTTGCATGATCCAAATATACAGAACATTTGTACTACAGGCAGAAATTAGGACACTGAAGAAAAAAATGACAAGCTCACTTTGGGACTTAGCAGTTTGAGGTAAGGACAGAAATTTCAGAGGTGCCCATAGGCAGCTGAAAATCTCCACTTACAGATCAGATGAACCTCAGACTCAATGTATAGACTTGGAAACTTCAATTTAGGCAGGAAGATGGAAGCCTTGGCGTAGCATTCAATTTGGCAGTTAGAAATGCAGGAGAAGGTATTGGAAGGAGGTTAAAGCTAAAGATGTAAGACATGTTTGGGAGACAACAGAAGAAGCTATGAACATGTAAACACTGTGGGAGATCGCAAAAGACAAAAGCAGAAGGCAGAGGCAGGGAGTCTTGACGATGACCACAGTGATGGAGAAAGAGCAGGAAGAGGGACCAGAAAAGGCAACCCAAGAGAGCCCCAGTGCTTAGTAATACTCTGACTGAATCATCTCTCAGCTGATTTTCCTTAGAAGAAGCCAACGTAAGTACAACTTCCTGAATATAAAAAGGGAGAACCCTCTTTCCTCCTTCTCTTCCTGTCTTCTCTCAACCAACTTGAGTGTCCAGTTCAAACATCTGTGAAGTCAGATAGGGAAAGATGAGACGTAGTTCTTCCTGCCCTTGATCAACCCACAGCTTAGTGAAAGCAGAGTTACCCTGCGGATCCCTTTCTTGGACTTACACTTTCCCCCGAAGCTGACAGAGCAGCTCTTAGGAGAAGAGGGGGCCTGTGCCTAGTCAATTAACCACAAGAAATTCATTGGCTCCTCATCTGGGGCCAAGCCCTAGGATGGCATCAGAAAAAAAAGAACAGAACTAGAGAGCAAAGTTTCTGTTGTCAGAGAGTCCAATATTTGGAGGACAATGAGTCAAATAATGAGAGGTTACTTAGATGCCAAGCTGAACGGTACTGACTTGAAGAAAAATAGGAGCTAAATGAGCAGGCGTTGTCACTCTGCAAAGAATGTGGCATTGTCATTAGAGAGCCTTGGGAGAAGGGAGACTCTAGATAGAGGCAGAGGAGGATGCCATTCCATTAGGAGACAGCTCAGGAACAGTGGGCAGAGGCAAAGAAGAACTGGCTTAGCTCAGCAGCGAGTGTTAGAGTGGGAGGTAGAGACATCCAGAAATGTTGTGTTTAGCAGTGGATGAGCTACTATTGAGGAATGGCCTTGGTAGATGCCAAGCGACAGAGGGAAGTTCTTAATATCCCAGTGTGGTCAGAAGTGAAGAAACAAGAACTCAGAGGTTCGTGAAGATTACCCAGCTCTACTGAACACTCTCCCAGCTCTCTGCCCACTCCAGTTGCTGGCGTCTGCCCCATCATGCTCCGGAGGCTTCTTTCTGTACGGTATGTTCTGATCCCTCAGGGATATAGAGCATTCCCCCAACCCCCTCACATATGTGAACCAGCTCATTGGCTGAGCGCCCCTGGCTCTAACCCCAGTGCTGGGGGTGGAAGTGCAGGCAGGAAGGAATAGAGAAGTCCGAAGTTCCCTCTGCTTGGGGCAAGCAGCCCTTGGACCAGGCCTAAGAGTGCTCTCTCTGTCCCATGGTTCAGAGCACACAAGTCTGCTTTCACATCATCCGGCGTTCTCTTTGACAAGGGTCATGGAAACCACAATCCTCTGGTATATTTCTCCAAAATTAGAGCCTGGCCCCTCATGGTACTTCTTTGACCTTCGGGGGTTCCAAACTAAATATGATGAAAGTATGATGAGACCAAACTACAGTCTGTAAACAACCTCATTTCTAGGACTGGTACCAGTCTTTCCCTAGGCAACCAACTATCATCTCCCACGACTTCTTGGTGTGTCTTCTCTAGTCAACCAAACACTGTTGGTGGTGATGTGCCATGGAGTCAGTTCCTACTCATAGTGACCCTGCATAGGGTTTATGTAAATCTTTATAGGATCAGAAAGCCTCATCTTTCTCCTGCAGAACGGCTGGTAGTTTCAAACTGTTGACTTTGAGGTTAGCAGCCCGACTCGTATCCATGACACTATGCTAATCTTCCTTCCATAGATCTCCATTAGTTCCTGTTCCCCATCTTCACTGCCTGTCCCTCACCAGACATACATCACCTTCCCCCTCTCCTATGTTATTTGTAATCAGGACCCCAAAACCTAGCCCAGTTTACCCAGCATTGTGACCCATTCGTTCTTCACGTTGCCTTATTTTCACCCATTCCGTCATCCTTTCTCTCAGGCTTGACAATTCACAACACGCCCTTCTTTTCAGATCTTATAAATTCAAGGCTTTCTCTCAAGGAAAAGAAGAAGAAAGGGAGGTGACGTGCTAAGTATTTGTGCACATCCTTTTCTCCAGCTGCTCACAAATGATTAAAGACTCGCTCTGGAGAAAGGAATTAAAATGGCTTTGGAGAGCTCAGTGATTTTTCAGGTACAGGGTTGGGAGAGACCCACCCTGGGTGGAGGAAGTACTAGAGTACCTCACAGGCAGGACATCAGTTGGTCTCAGTGGAACCAGGTTCTACATCCACTTCTCTATGCACATGTGGAGTCCGGGTGTGGCGCTGTGGGCTAATGCATCAGATTGCAAAGTCATTTCAACTGCAAGGTCGGTGGTTCAAGCTCATCAGTTGCTCCATGGAAACCCTATACAGGGTCGTTATGGGTCAGAATCAACTCAACAGCACTTAACAACAACAACATGCACGTGTGTAGGAGTCCTGGTGTGGCACTGTAGGTTAATGTGCTGGATTGCAAAGTCAGTTTGATCATCAAGGTTGGTGGTTCAAGCTCACAGTTGCTCCTCAGAGGGTTACTGTGAGTTGGAACTGGCTCCCCCACATAATAACAATGCATTTGTAGACAAGACAAGTTACTCCATCCCTTTCGAATCCAGCTTTTTCTGAGCCTGAACGTGAGGTTTGCCTGAAGTTACTAAGGAAGAAACAGAGCCTTTCATAGACACATAAAAGTTTTAGGTCCCCCTCAGCTTTCATGGATTTCAATGTTCATCGCACAACCTAATGATGTACCGGGGAAAGATGTGCACTACTTTGTCGCAGGGTCGGTCATGTTGCCATTGTGATGGGCAGCACTTAAAAAATGGCACGTCTTTCCCTAACTCATTGATGGCTGGAAATGAGCATGAGGGAAACCGAGTCACTAGCATCATTGCATCCTAGCACAGGAGGCTGGAAAAGCAGGATGGGGATTCACGTCAACAATGAGGAAGAAAGTCAAGACAGAACCTGGAACTTTCCTTCTTGCCTGCTTCAGCACTCATCTTTACTAACACAATGTACCCCTACTTCTTTTGCAGAGAAACCACGGATGAACAACATCCTGACATCAGCCACTGAGCCCTATGACCTTTCCTTCTCCCGCTCCTTCCAGAACTTGGCTCACCTGCCCCCCTCCTATGAGTCTACAGTGAAGACCAACCCTAGCAAGTACTCATCTCTGAAGAGACTAAGTAAGTGGAGTTGTCCTGGGGTCTGGGTATGTCTCTGGGGCCTCCAAGACATCCTAGAGGGTCTCACTGTTGTACCCTACACCTGAGTGGGTTGTCATGGACCACCAAGAATAAAGAGGGAAGTTCTTGATGGAAAAAGAGCATAGACACGCACATTGTTTTTGTTCTCAACACCTGAGTCCATTCTTTCTAGCCATAGAATAGCCATCATGGAATCCTCAGATCCACATTCCTATCTAAATGAGCATTTCAACTCATGGGCCCAACTGGATGGAGAACAATTTAACTGTAGGAGACAGTTTTCTCCCACCTCTGTCCTCACCAGTCCTCTTCAAACTAAGGGGCCTTCTTCACTCTTTGTCTTATCTTTGAGCAGAGGTTAACAATAGCTGAATCTTTCACTAATGTTCCTCTCAGGGCTGTAGAGTCGTTGAACAATGGAGCAACCATAAACCACTCCTCCCTAACCTGCCCAACACCATCTTGAGGACTTGAGACCCATCTGCATTGTGTTGTTGTTGTTGTTAAGTGCCATCGAGTCGGGTCTTAGTTGAGTATTATTCACCCAATGATTCCAACTCTGCTGTTATAGTCTGGGATGGTTCTGGGTATTGATAATTTTAAGAAATGAAAATATCAAAAAAGTGCTTAGAAAGAAGACTCTGCCATTCTGGCTTCCTGACCCTTACACTTTCTGCCCCCATTTCCCCATGAATCTCATTTGGTGTCCACCCAACTGAAGTAGAAATCCTAGGGCTAAGCATTTGGTTGAAGCTGTAGGAGAAACTCCCCTGATGGAAGTTTAGCCTATGAACCCACATCAGTCACCTCCATGGTGCAGCTTTAAGTTTCTTCAGCTAGAGGTGGGATCCTTGAATTCTCAAGAAATCTAGTACATGTCCCAGAATCATGGAGAATGTCACAGGAGGCACATTAGTGACCTTTCTAGAGATTTAGGAAGCTATCCAGAGTGCTCCTTGGAGGCCAAGATGGCCAAACTTTGTCTCTCATACTTTGGACATATTGTCAGAAGGGACCAGTCGCTGGAGAAGGATATCATGTTTGGTAAGGTAGAGGGTCAGAGAAAAAGAGGAAGACCCCCAATGAGATGGAATGCCCAAATGGCAGCATCAATGGACTCAAGCGTGGCAACAGTAGTGAGGTTGGCCCAGGATCGGGCAGTGTTTCATTCTGCTGTGCATAAGGTCGCTATGGGTCAGTACCGAATGATGGCACCTAACAACAACAACAACAACATCTGCAGGAAGTCTCATTTCTGCATCTTGGAGTAGTGTTCTGGGTACCTGCATGGGTGGTGTGAGTTAAGCAGGGCCTACTGGATGGATATGAGGGTGAAGCATCTGAATATATAGGGCTGCTCCCACCTGCTCACACTGTGGGCTCGGTATGTGGCTGTGTGGGGCGCTAAAAGCCTATGCACTGGCTTTCTGCACATTGACAGTTACTCCCAAAAAGGTAGTACGATGTCCCTAAGTTACCAGCTCAGCACTTATTTTATTCTAGCAGGAGGCTGGTTCTGGGACCCAGTCCTCAATGAGAAGTTGTGTGGATATTTCAACAAGAGGCAGGGGGCCACTTTGTCCCAGGATAAGAGTGTGGTCAAAGTAGCACAGGAATGGGAGTCCAGGGACCTAGGCTTGCTTTCCATTGTGCTGTAAACACACTTCCTAGAGGAAGTCCTTTTAATTTCTTCTCAGTCAAGTGTGGTGCATTCAACAGGGCATCAGTAGTATCCCCTGGAAGTCTGTTAGAAATGTAAAATCAGTCACATCCCAGAGTTATTGAAGCTGGATGGACCAAGACTTTCAGGAACTCCCTTGCACATTAACTTTGGAGAAGCACTACCTTTACCTGTCTGGGTTCCTGTGCCCTAATCCATGACATGAAAAGGGGTTGGAGAGCAGCACTTCTTCAGTGGCAGAATTTTCACTTTCTATATGGGAGTCCTAAAAGGAGCTCTGGTAGCGTAGTGGTTA